TGGCTAAAAATAGGAAGAAGAGTAAAATTGGAGTGTTTAGTTACTTACAAGTTCATTTCATACATATGGAAAGAACAAAGCATGACTAAACTGAAAGAATTTGGAGTGCTTTATGCCTCAGTGTGGTATGAGTCAGTTACGGAAGGACAAAGGCCGTGGAGACCACTGTTCTAACAGTGAAGAGCAAGCACAGGTTCTTCACACAAACAAACAGACGCTTATGGGGACCAGAGGCAGGAGGGAAAAGGAGAGAAGGGGACGCAATAGGCTAGAAGGTAGACAAGTTTTATTAGCTAAGGTGATGGGGAAGATAAAATTCTACACTGGAAGGGGAAGAAAAAAGAGAAGGGACAGGAAGAGGGATTGTGAGGTTAGTTAACTTGTTTAAATTGTTACTACAAAAATGACGATCTGAAATGTAAACCCTCACCTAATTCACAATAAAGTTAAATAATGAAATAAAAATAAAAGAAGACAGACGTTTACTACAGTTCATATTACATTTGCCACAGGAGCAATGGTTCCCTGAGGGGAGAGGGGGGAATAGGGAGCTGATAGCATTGATGACTGTATAACCCCACTCGATGGGATCGAACACAGAATTGTGTGTGAATAGATATATTGGATTATGTAAGATATGGCACACACAAAAAACTACCACAGGGAAAATAATAATAATAAGGCTTCTTGGGGTGTAAGGTAGGGGAGGGAGGGGAGAAAGGGGAGCTGTTATCAAGGAGTTCAAGAAAGAAAGAAAATGTTTTTAAACTGATTGTGGTAGCAATCGTACAATACTGGTTGATGTGATTGAACTCTGAAATGTTATATCTGTAAGCACTCTCATTAAAATGATTAAAAATAATAAAAATAAAATCACAGTAAGGTTTCTTGGGCTCTTTCTATTAGCCTCGCTTCAGAACACAGAGACATCCCCTGAGCTCTGGTGTGCAGTCTGTGCTACAGGCTGCCCTGGGTTTGTGGAATAAGGTGGTCATGGCAACACCTGTGGACAGGTATGAAGCAAGACCCGTTCACGCTCATTTCATGCAGCACTCCAGCACAGGTGACGCCAATAACTGGCACACACACTCCCACCACTTATGCCCTCCTTCCCAATTCACACAGGCCCTAGGAGGGACAAACTGGAGCCAGGCTTAGTTGTGGGGGCATGGTCTCCCCTCAACTCCAGCCCCAGTCTCACAGGCTCAGGAAGAGCTGGAGGCGGGGTGGGGGCTGTGGAGGAGGGGAAGAGAAAACCAAATGCAGGGCATGCTGCTGAGCCACATCCAGTCCACTGCTTTTTTCCCAGAGGGCTTCCAAGGCTGTCATCTTTACCGTCCTAGAGGAGCTGGGCTGCTAACCACAGGGGCAGTGGTTCAAACCCACCAGGCACTGCTCGAGAGAAAGATGAGGCTAGGCTGTCCACTCCTGTAAAAACGACTGCCCTGGAAATCCTAGATAGGGTCACTGTGAGTTGGAATTGACTCAGTGGCAGTGGGGTTTGGGGGTTTTGAATCTTTAAGGAAGCAGACCTCATTTTTGCCCCCATAGAGTGGCTGGTGGGTTCAAGCCATTGACCTTGCAGTTAGCAATGAAAAGCAAAAACCAACAGAGCCACTTGTCACCGGCTCGTTAGGTCAGAGGTTTCCCAGACTGTCATCTTTCTGAGTTACAACTACTGACCTCGCTTCTCAACCGAGCACTTTCACCCGGGTCCTCCCACACCACCTCCCTGGGAGGTCGGAACCACTGCCTGGGCGCGGGTGCGGGCTCTCTGCTCGGAAAGAGATGTGCCCCAGGGCCCGGTGACCCACAGGAGACGCACGAGGGAGGCCGGGAGGAAGGGCGCGAAGCAGCTCCGGGAGAAAGTGGGATGGGCGCAGTGACCCCCTGGGGACGGCAACCACTGCCGCAAACCACGTACGAACTGCCGAC